TCATAAAAAAATTGTGTGGATCCATAAACTTTTCAATAAGTAGTTATAGCATAATAAAGTTAAAAATGTAAAATATAAAATCGAAAATTTTCACACAAAAATAGCATTCGGTAGCCATTTTCGCCATGAGGATAAGATAAAGTCCGAAATTTTTTTTTTTCATGATAAAGCATATTACATTAGCTTTAATTTAAGATATATATAAAAGTGTCAGACCTTCCGGAACATTTTCAAAAGTTAAGTTGAAAAAGTTAATTTTTTGTGAAAAAGTTGTCATTTTAAATCCCCCCCTGTGGGCAGGTTAAGTGTCAGATTTACAAAAAAAATATACCAAATGATAAGTAAAGACATCAAGCATCTATATAAAAAAAAATTATATTGATATGTTCATTTTTGAAAAAGTTAGAGCATTATTAAGTTAAAAATATAAAAAAAAATTATTTTACAAAAATCGTAATTTTTTATTAACTTTGATGTCAACTTTCACCACGAAGACAAGTCCAGAGGTCAAATTTTTTTTTTTCAAATTAAAGTATATTACATTAGCTTTAATTTAAGATATATATAAAAGTGTCAGACCTTCCGGAACATTTTCAAAAGTTAAGTTGAAAAAGTTAATTTTTTGTGAAAAAGTTGTCATTTTAAATCCCCCCCTGTGGGCAGGTTAAGTGTCAGATTTACAAAAAAAATATACCAAATGATAAGTAAAGACATCAAGCATCTATATAAAAAAAAATTATATTGATATGTTCATTTTTGAAAAAGTTAGAGCATTATTAAGTTAAAAATATAAAAAAAAATTATTTTACAAAAATCGTAATTTTTTATTAACTTTGATGTCAACTTTCACCACGAAGACAAGTCCAGAGGTCAAATTTTTTTTTTTCAAATTAAAGTATATTACATAAGCTTCAATTTAAGATATATATAAAAGTGTCAGACTTTCCGGAACACTTTCAAAAGTTAAGTTGAAAAAATTCGACTTTCTATATGCATTTTTTATATTTGAAGCCCCCCCATATATAGGGAAATAGTCTGATTTAAAAAAAAAGTATATCCAATGAAAGATGTATATAAATACTACTTCTCATGAAAAAATTGTATTGATCCATACATTTTTTAAAAAGTTATAGCACTTTAAAGTAAAAAATGTAAATTATAAAATCGAAAATTTTCACACAAAAATAGCATTCGGTAGCCGTTTTCACCATGAAGACAAGTCCAGAGGTCAAATTTTTTTTTTTCAAATTAAAGTATATTACATAAGCTTTAATTTAAGATATATATAAAAGTGTCAGACCTTCCGGAACACTTTCAAAAGTTAAGTTGAAAAAGTTCTACATTCTATATGCATTTTTTATATTTGAAGCCCCCCCATATATAGGGAAATAGTCTGATTTAAAAAAAAAGTATATCCAATGAAAGATGTATATAAATACCACTTCTCATGAAAAAATTGTATTGATCCATACATTTTTTAAAAAGTTATAGCACTTTAAAGTAAAAAATGTAAATTATAAAATCGAAAATTTTCACACAAAAATAGCATTCGGTAGCCATTTTCGCCATGAGGACAAGTGCAGAGGTCAAATTTCTTTTTTCATAATAAAGTATATTACATCAACTTTAATTTAAGATATATATAAAAGTGTCAGACTTTCCGGAACATTTTCAAAAGTTAAGTTGAAAAAGTTAACTTTTTGTGAAAAAGTTGTCATTTTAAATCCCCCCTGTGGGCAGATAAAGGGTCAAATTTATAAAAAAATATACTAAATGATAGATAAAGACATCAAGCATCTAAAAAAAAAAATATATATTTTTAGTAAAAAAATAGTTTTTAGTAAAAAAAATTGAAAAAATTTCGAATATTAGCGATTTTTAAATTTGTAATTTTTTTGGAGGTTTCCCCCATTTACGGGGAACGAGGGAAATTTTTTCAATTTTTAAGGGTAATGCCTTCGACTAGATACGATTTGTGATCTTTTGACGTATCGTTGAAAGAAATCGGTTCGGTGAGAGCTGAGAAAAAGTTGTAACAGACACAAAAAAAAATAAATAAATAAATAAACACATCATAGTAAAACCAATACCTTCTCAGCTTCACATCGAAGCTAAAAACAATTATAACTGATGCTGTGAGTTTAGTGTATTTGTATATTTGTTCACTGTATCGTTCAAGGAAATAGGTACTACAAAGTTTTGATTTAAGATTTAAATATGAAGTTTCATCATCTCGCATCTTATTTATAGTTTAAACCTTATAAATATATGTGGCCACAATTTATGCATACTAATATAATAAAAATTGATCACTTGTGGCTAACTATTTAAAATTAAAATTATATTAAAAATATTTAACTAAAAAAGCCACAAAACAATTACTATGAAATCAAGGATACCTTATCATTATCAACGCTAAACGCGTACTGATATCTCGACCGAAAAAAACCCTCTTTTATACCCCTAGTGACATTATCACTAAGTAATATTATCACATTTTGACAGTTCATACAAGTTTAATAATGAATTATTCAGTGGGCCGATATCCAAATTAATTAAATTGTTCTTATTTTTAAACATTTCTATTGCCTCCTTTATATTAAGTGCTTTGTAATTATTTACGTTTTTAATTAGTTTTATGGTTTTAATAGAGCGATTATGTGTCAATAAATGTTCAGCCACTGGAGATTTCTCAACTTCTTGATTTTTAATATTTCTTAAGTGTTCTTTAAACCTGACCCTTATATTTCTTTTTGTTTGCCCTACGTAACATTTATTACAACTTTTTTGTTTTGAACTATTTTTGAAATTAAGTTTTCGTTATATCTATTAAATTTAGCTATTTCTCTATAACCCTCAATTCATTATCAAAATATGATTTTATTCATGAGAATATTAACTAATTATAATTAACTAATATTAACTAATAGATCGGGGTGTCAATATGTTTTTAGCGTTAATATAGTAATATTGTTCTCGAAATACGTATCCGCGAATTTTTAGTAATTTTTTTGTGGCCTTTTGAGTTAAATATTTTTAATATAGTTTTAATTCTATGCATACTAATCCTTATTTTGTTACAAACAATATAATTGTATTATAATATTTATATTTCTTCATAAAATTCGATCTAAATTGTTACGGTTTGTTTTATTTTTAATAAAATTAGATTTTTTTTACTGCTTTTCTAGGCCCATTAAAGGTTCATAGTAACCTTCCTCAAAGGGCAGGTTTTTTTAACCACTGGTACTCCGGGACGAATTGTTAGTCCGTCGCTGGAGAGAGGGATGGCGACTTCAATTAACGAACTGATCTATCGCTCGGCGAATGAAGCCGCCCGTGACTTAGTTTCGATCCCCAGGCAGTGCGTGTTAAGCACTATTGCGTTACCGACTTGGCTATACCGTCCGCTTCAAAAAATTAGATTAAAATAAAAAAGTATTATTATAAATCGTATTAGACTTAAAATACATCCGATTCGAGAAGCGATACTTCTAATTTAATTATAGTGTTTATCAATGGCATAAAAACAATTTTTTTTTTTGGGAGAGTATTATTTTAAATTATGCATATATTTTTTAGTTTCGACGCGAAGCTGAGGAGGTATTAATTTTTTAAAGACAAGTTTTTTTTTTTATATCTGTCGAAAATTTTTCTTAGCTCTCACTAGACCCATTACTTTCAATGATACAAAAATATCGTAAATCGTATCTAGTTGAAGACATTGTCCTTAAAAATTGAAAAAATTTCTCTCGTTTCCCATAAATGGTAGAAATCCCTCAAAAAATTACGATTTTTAACTCGGTAAATTACGAAATTTTAGCTTCCATGTGAAGCTGAGAAGGTATTAATTTTACTATGATGTGTTTTTTTTTGTGTCTGTAACCACTTTTTCTCAGCTCTCACCGAATCGAGACTAAATTATTAAATATCAATTTGACACTACATTTAATTGCTATAATAAATATTTATTCATATGTTATACTTATAAATCATAAAACTTGTAATCAGGATATAAATAAGAAAATAAGAGTTCATTTTGCTTTTGGAATAAATCAATAATTTTTTAACATTAAACACTATGTACAGATTTGCATTGAATCTTTTCTTATGATAGTGATTTTAATAACTTTCAGATATCATTTATACTTGTCCCAACTATGCCACGACTCCACTGTCCTATGGTTTTTTTATTTAAAATTTTATTAATAACTTTCCATCTACCTTTTATATCCTTACATGTTTTAATATTTTAATTCTTTAAAGAAAAAATTACAAGCAGCCTCAATTAATTTTGTAAGGTATTTATAAGATTTTAATAAAATATTTATCAAAAAGATCTTTTCTACTTATTTAATATAATTTTTCTTTGTGCCTGATAAAAACTATTAACTCTTTAAAAATCTATTCTTTGAGACCGATAATCTCTATCTTAGTTTTAAAATTTCGAAAATAAATGGCATTATTAATTAATTAAGCGTACATATTTTGATTAAATACATTTATAGCATCATCAACATCATCTAAATTAAGTAGTTGGTTGTAATCCTCAGCTTATATAATTTAGTTTAAATAAGTAAAATTAATAAATTTAGATTTAAAGACCGAGCCAACATTGACTTAAAGTCAATGTTGTCTCTCTGTCAATGCAACAGTACTAACTAAAATTTTTTATTTCATTAAGAGGACGGATATATGACGCAAGATCAATTTTTTATTCAAATGGGCAAATGTCTTAAAGTAGTTGAGTTAAATGTTAAGGAACTTTATGATTACTGTTTCAATAAAAAAGAAGGGATGACTCAAGAGCAATTAATCTTTGCTTTTAAAATATGTTCTATTAAAATGGATTATGTTGAAGCTACTCAATTAATGAGAGATTTTACAAGAAGAAACGCACAAAATATTAACTTCGAAGGTAAAATCAATATTACGTATAATTGTTTAGACACATTACTCATCTATGATCAATATGATATCTTTCAATAGTTTCTTAAATCCAAGATTGATAGATAATTCGTTGTCGAGAAGGTTGAAACAACTAAATGAAACTATTTACAAAAGTACCAATGCCATTAAGCATTATGAAATTTCACTTTTACGACATAATCTTAATTTGTAATCAGTATTTCTAATTTTACTTCATATAAAATAAATTTTCACTAAATAAAATTATATATTAGAAGTAGGGTAAAAATGGGGATTGAATACGATAGGGAAAAAGGGGCGTGGTCTATGTGAAAGAAGTGGAGGAAATAGGCGTGACCTATGTTAAGGGGAAGGTGAATGAGATGTTAAATGAGGTGTCAAATTATGATTTTTATGAGGACAAAAGCGATGCTATCTGTATATTATCAAACATACAGATATCATTTCTACGAATTTTACAATCGGCATCCAGACGCTTAGGTATAAGCATATTATTAACATCGAAAGTAATACCACACTATAACGCTCATTGATGTACGCATTTTATTATTTAAACTATCCGTTTTCGATTTATGCATTAAATAAATGAAATATAATAAATATGTACTAAAATAAATAACACATTTTTTTAAATAGCAAAATATATATTCAAGCTATTATTAGTATTTCTTAAATATAAAATTTTACATAATTTTTAGAAAAAAAAATTATATTTTATGAACTTCATTAATCATATGATTACATTCAAACATTTTATCGTGTACAATCAAGCAATATGCTATAGTATTAGTTGGAAAATTTTCGTCGGATTCAAATTCTAATCTAATATCTACTGATGCATTTTTTCATTTTTAATTTTGCTTGAAACAGTCAGTGACAATGAGTGAAGTAGCTGTCTTGAATTCTGTCTTCGTCAGCATCGGACACGCTATCTCCTTTACGTAGAACGCCTCTTAGAATTAGGTGTACGTGTGATATGGTACAGCATACTTATCATTCGAAAAGTCCATTCACAAATTGTCATAGGGGTACCGTTCCGAGTTTAACTATACTTTTAGAGATGATAACGAACAGTACTTTGAAATATGCTTACCTAAGCGTCTCGTAGATAATAATAAATTTCTTAGAAAATGATAACTATTGTTCTGATTAAAAATGTTTATCATAATTTTAATTTGACATCTTATTTTAGTACCCCATTCTACTTCCCCTTAACATAGGTCGTGCCTATTGCCTCCATTACTTCCACATTTTTCCATGCCTCTTACTTCCCCTATAGAGATCAATCCCATTTTTACGCTATTACTAGATATTATTTTTGATTAAGTAACCATTAAAATGAATAATTTAACTTGATATTTTTCTAGAATAGTTTTTGATTAATTATCAAACAGCCTTATGGTCAAAATACTTTAAAAAAGTGTTTCAAAAATATAAAAATAAGACATTATTATTTATTTATAAATGTAAATGTATATTTGTGTATAGTGACAATGAAATTAAGTTATGAAACATAAAAATAGGGGATATATCTTTTTATTTTTATTGTTATCAATAAGAAGCTATAGCTGATAAAAAGATATTCCATTCATTTATCAAGCTGAATNAACATAAAAATAGGGGATATATCTTTTTATTTTTATTGTTATCAATAAGAAGCTATAGCTGATAAAAAGATATTCCATTAATTTATCAAGCTGAATCATTCTGTGTATTAAATAAAAAACTAATATATAGTTACATTTAATCAATTAATGATATTTTTGTTTATTTTTTTTCAGAATTCAGATCAATATTTGCACATAAGCTACATAAATTAGTCTAGTGACTAGACTTTAGGAATTTACATTAGAATCCCAAACAGGATTCCCTACATAGTCTTCTTTTTGTCTACTCTAAATTCCTGTGGTATTCTAACTTTGAAGCATTCACTCATTTTAACTTATCTCCAATCAAATTATAATTTGTCTCTTAATATAGAAAATGTTACAATATAATAAATTTAAAATAATTTTTGTCTTTTTTTTTCTATGATTCAATACTTAACAATTCAAATATATGAATCACTGTTATGATATATTTACCACTCATTAGCACTTAGTGATGGAATCTAATATAGACGATTCATGTAAAATCCTAAACTATTGTATGTCAATAAATTGTAGGAACTATATAAATTGATCTATAATAATTAACACAATTAATTAATAAATAATGGCGTTGACAATGGCGTATTTTCGAATTTTTCTGGCAGTCCATAGTTAACATTATACTTTCATTATTACTGTAATCTAATATCTATGATAATTCATAAAATGTACGTATGTTTGAGGTGGTTTAATTAAATATAATTTTATTGACTCACTTTTACATATAATATTATATTACATATTTCACAAGAGGTACCTTCTTAAAAGTTAAAACAAAAGATAATTTTATTAAATAAATTCTAGTCGTCTGTTTTTTTTTTTGATAATTCATCTATCACTTCATCATCACTAATTTCAACTTCCCTGTGAATGTTTAACATCGCCAATCCATTTAATCTTTTCTAAAACAAAATAATTACAAGAATCTATTAGTTTTTAAATTAAAATTTCTTTATAACATTTTATTACCTTAGATATTGTATTTCGTAGATATGTTTTGATTCTTTTGAGAGATGAAAAATTCCGCTCGTTTGATGCTGAAGATATAGGAAGCGTAGCCAAAATTTGAAATAATTTATTTATGCCTGGATATACAGGGTGATTATTTTATCATAACCCACTCAATTACTTACAGAATAATAATAATTTAAAAATTTTTTTTTTTATTATCTTTAGTTACACATTATTCTTGAATTATTAACTATGTAATACTTTTTAAGTTCATCCCTTATGCCTGGTAAGGGTGTCAACTTTGTTTTTTTAAATGGTAACACATATTTTTAATTTAATAAAATGTTTGAGTTTTTAATTCAACAGTAAATGGCATTTGAATTTTTAATAAAACTTAATTTGTTTATTAGATATAAACATTTAAAGTTTCAAATTTTTGAGTTAATATATAGGTATAATACACAAGGGATTACAAATACAGGTAGCTAATTGGTTTTTTATGACATCGATATTAGCAGGTACACAGCATTGTTATTATCAATGATAGTAAGGTACATTGTTGTGAGTTTATAAATACACTAACTGACAATACAAAAAGTATATCTATTGATAGTCATAATTGATAATAAACAATCCGTGACTGTGACAGCAATGTCATAAAAATCCAATTAGCTACCTGTATTTACAATCCCATGTGTATTATACATGTATATTAACTCAAAATTTTGAAACTTTAAATGTTTATATCTAATAAGCTAATAAAGTTATATTAAAAATTCAAATGCCATTTACTATTAAATTAAAAACTCAAACATTTTATTAAATTAAAAATATGTGTTACCATTTAAAAAAACAAAGTTGACCCCCCTCCAAGGCATAAGGGATGAACTTAAAAAGTATTACATAGTTAATAATTCAAGAATAATGTGTAACTAAAGATAATAATAAAAAAAAATTTTTAAATTATTATTATTCTATAAGTAATTGAGTGGGTTATGATAAAAAAATCACCCTGTATATCTGAATTACACAACTTTGGTGAATCGATAAAATTTTTTGGTTTAATATCCAATTTTTTAAGTTCCTCAGCCATAATTGGAATTCTTCTAATATCGAATTATTACCGTTTAAGTCTTCTTCGTAAAATTCAGCCAATTTTTTTAATTCTTCTGTTGTAGAAATTTCGTCGAATAGAGAGTGAAAACTTGATAAAATATCAACATGATCAAGAAATCTAAACTTTAATTGACTTATAAAAGAGTCTAAGAATGGGATAAAAACTAATATGCGAAAATAGTCTTCAGGATTATTAGTTTGTACATTTATTCTATGTACTTGTTTTTTACTAATTCTTGGAATACTCATTGTCACATTAAATTTATCAGCAATTTTCTCGGCAGCTGAAAAAATTTCTTTAAAATTTTTCTGTGCGTGCTTCTATAATCCTTCAACTCGGTCAAAGTATCTTAAGCTAATTTTAAATCAATATCAATTTTTTGAAACTGTTTTGACAGTGTAAGTCCTAATCCAAATACTTTGGAAATAGTAACTAATGTAATTATGAATTCCGGTCGGAGGATTGCAATTCGGAATGCCCTTGCTTGATTCAACGTGTCTGTATTATCCCACTCACAAATTTCGTCAAGGGCATCTACTACACACTCAAAAAGTTCTAAAAAATTACTAATTGAATGATAGCGTTCGATCCATCTAGTTTCACAGTTTCTTTTTAACGAATTTTTAGAAATATTATTTTCTGTATTCAATAACTTCTGACAGCACAGATTTTCTTTTTGGAAACACAAAAAAGTCTCTCAATTTTCCTACTGTCCCCATGCAATTGCGTATTTGAGAATCATTACAAGATACAGATACAGCAAGATTTAAGGAATGTGCAGAGCAATGTACGTATACAGCTAAAGGATGTTCTTTTTTTTCATACGCTTCTACTCAATTATACTTCTCCATTTGTCCATTGCTGCTGCGCCATCATATTCCTGACCCCGGAGATATTGTGTATCTATATCAAATGTTTTGAAAATGTCAAGTATAAGTCATGATAAACCTTTTCCAGAAGCTTCAGTTGTTGGAACAAACTGTAGAAAATCCTCATGTAATTCAAATGTTTTTAAATCAATATATCGAACGCAAATAGACACCTGTTCGATACCAGTTATATCTGCAATTTCAACGACGAGAATTAAAAAACATTTGGCTTCATTTACTCGGCCGACTATTTTATTGAGTAAAATTGAATTGCATGAATCAATTATAGCATTTGGACTAATAGGGCTTGTATATTTTATAGTACCGGAACTCTTAAGATATAATTTTCGTGATGCATCACCGCGAGCTCTAAAGCGTAATAAATTAAGAAAATTTCCATCGTTTATATCGGTGTTATGAACGGTTAATTTTCCAAATTCACGAAGAACTTTTTTTTTTTTTTCACGACCGGCACTATTGCGGACCGCCCTGGAACTGCTGTGAGGTATTACTTCAGGGTGGCTCTAAATTCACCATGACCTCATGGTGGTATATTTTGTTGACAACATAAAATAACTGTTTCAATAACAAGAGAAATGTTTTTTCTATTTTCAAAAATTTGTCATGCCCGAGCAGTGTCTAATTGATTTTCAATTGACAGATGTATATTATTTTTCATATCTATAAAATTATCTGCTTCTGAGACGGATTGTTTGTGGTACTGAAGTGTGTTATGATTTTTAAACGTTTCCATTGCATGTTTCCAATTCTGAAAAGGTTTCCAAACCAAAGCGCCTAGTGTTTAAGAATTTATTCCAGCGCCTAATTTAGCATACACAAAACGTACAGAATGCGCCATTTAATTTGGCAGAATATGCTAACCACGGAAAAGTATGCAACCATTTTTATTGAAATTTTAAATTTTTTGATCGTTTCTCTTTACCATTAATTATTGCAGTATTAGGGAATTCAAAAGTAGGTTCGCGCTTCCTAATTTTTTAAAAACTTCTTCTTTCTCTACGTCCGTTAACAAGCGGTTAAAATAAAGTCCAATATCAAAATGTTTAAAATGAAGTTCATTTTTTGTATCGATATTATTAGATTTTTTTTGACGTTTTACATTTTCGACATTATTTGTACTAGGCGAAATCGGTCGTGAAATTGCCGAAACGATAGAATTATGGTGGTCAAATTTTTCTTGAAGATTTGTATCATTGTTTCTTTTTAAATATTGTGTTAATGACATTTGCTGAGACATTTAAAAATAAATAAATTATTTTGTACTCACTCGTATATCTCTAGAAGCAAAATAAGATCAACAGAAAATATCATTAATTGGAACCAGTTATCTTATAATATTGGAACGCGACGTTCCGTTTATATTCGTATATGATAGAGTAACTGACGAGTGTATAAATATGTAGTGTGCGTTATGTTTGAAACGCACCACTGGGCATTGATGACGCTTATTGCATATGAATTATAGCTAAAATTTTATAAAAAAAAAGATTAGAAAATATTCATAACATTTTTCGGGTTTATATTTTCAATTATTAGTTGCACTCGTGTTGCTCTCAATTCACTTTATATTTCTCTGAAGAAGAAAAACGAGTTATATTTATGTATAGGAAATATCAATGTTAATATTATTTTATGAGATCAATCTAGAAGGTTTGAAATGAAGTATTTTGTGTAATATTGGCACGAAGTTAATATCTACGTGTCAGTTTTTAATTTATACAATACGGTATTTTTGCTCATTTTATAAAAGTTTTTGTTTAACCATTTTTTTTGAGCTCTAGTGCATTAAAAATTTGAATTAGTTGTAAAGTTAATATAGTCAAGGTTTTAACTTAATAAGTAACTTTTGTTTTATTTTTAATAAGATAGTGTTCAGTAATTGTGATTAGTGGCGGATTTAATGTCATAGTGACATTGGTATTATAATAATAGTAATACTATAAAATTTAAAAAAAACCCAGCACAGGGAAGTCGCGGCACAGTGGTGACGTGGCATTGATGGATCAAGTATAATGATATCTAACAGTGATTAAAATCACTATAAAAAAAAAAACGCTTCGATGCAAATCTTTAGATAGTGTTTAATTTTAAAAAATTGGTGGATTATTCCAAAAGCTACATGATCTGCTAGTTCATTATTAATATCCTAATTAAGATAAAGTATGTCGAATGAAAAAGGGATTATTAAAAAATATTATTTCTCATAAAAAAATAATGTTGATCCATACACTTTTCAATATGTCATAGCATTATAAAGTTAAAAATGTAAAAAATAAAATCGAGAATTTTCACATAATAATAGCATTTGGTAGCCATTTTCATCGTGGGATATAATAAAGTCCGAATTTTTTTTTTTTCATAATAAAGTAAATTACATTAACTTTAATTTAAGATATATATAAAAGTGTCAGACTTTCCGGAACATTTTCAAAAGTTAAGTTGAAAAAGTTAATTTTTTGTGAAAAAGTTTTCATTTTGAATCCCCACCTGTAGGCAGGTAAAAAGTCAGATTTATAAAAAAAATATATCAAATGATAGGTAAAGACATCATGCATCTATAAAAAAAAAGAATTATATTGATCCATACATCTTTCAAAAAGTTATAGCATTATAAAGTTAAAAATATAAAAAAGAATTTTTTTACAAAAATCGTATTTTTTTTAATAAGTCTAATGTCTGTTTTCACCATAAAGATAAAATAAAGTCCGAATTTTTTTTTTTCATAATAAAGTATATTACATCAACTTTAATTTAAGATATATATAAAAGTGTCAGACTTTCCGGAACATTTTCAAAAGTTAAGTTGAAAAAGTTAATTTTTTGTGAAAAAGTTATCATTTTAAATCCTTCCCTGTGGGCAGATCTAAAGTGAAATTTATAAAAAAAATATACCAAATAAAAGGTAATGATATTATGCATGTATTTAAAAAAAATTATATTGATATGTTCAATTTTGAAAAAGTTATGGCACTTTTAAGTAAAAAAAATTGAAATAATTTCGGAAATTAGCGATTTTTAAATTTGTAATTTTTTTGGAGTTTTCCCCCATTTAGGGGAAACGAGGTAATTTTTTTCAATTTATGAGGGTAATTTCTTCGGCTTGATACGATTTGTGATTTTTTGACGTATCATTGAAAGAAATCAGTTCGGTGAGAGCTGAGAAAAAGTGGTAACATACACAAAAAAAAAACACATCTTAGTAAAACCAATACTTTCTCAGGTCCGCATCGAAGCTAATAAGATGTTGGATTATAACAGGAATCAATTTTATCCAAAATTTCATGGAAGAAATAATAAATGTCATGAGATATTTTATATTTGATAAATAACGATTTCGATTTGTCAAATTTTTGAAACCAATGATATTTTTCCGTAAAAATACAGTCCGAGATTTTACGATCCGGCTCTTCACTCTCCGCGATTTTACGTTCCATAATTCTACGGTCTGTAATGTGTCTTTCCGTCGATATACAGTCCGGCATTATACTTTCTGTTGTTCTACGGTCCGTAAATATTTGTTCAGAAATATTATTTTCCGTTATTATACATTCCAATAATTTTTTCCGTACTTATATAGCCCCCCTCTGTCATCAGTAAACAAGGGGAATACGTCAAATAATTAGGATTTTAATAATCGGTAAATTTCGACTTTTTTTAAACTTTTATTTTATAAAACTGTCATAACCATTTGAAAAATTAATAAAGCAAACTATTTTTTTTCTTAAATACTATAGGTATTATTATTTTATTTGGTATACATTTTTCCAAAATCTGAACCTTTTCACCCACAGAGAGACATTGAAAATGACAACATTAGAATAAAAAGTTAACTCTTTTGAGAATGTTACGGAAATAAATGGAGCTTCAAACATGTGTTCCCTTAGCCAATAGCTGAGGGGATCGTAGTGATGCAATCTAATTATAAATAATATAGAGACGGCCACAAATAGATGGACTCAAGTCTATGATAATGATGATGAGGATAATTTACAAATCATTTGTGATAAAATCAATTTATTTTTATAAAACTTAATAAATATATCCCTAATTATTAAGTAATTGTAAGTAAAAAATCATTGAAAAAATTGTAAAAATTCAAGTAGCACAGTATTTTAGTCTATTTTGAAATGAAAAAGTAAGAAGTTGAACAAAAAACACAAAAAATAAATACTAAAAATAGTCCACTAATTATTTTGATATAATAATATATATATATATATATATAATATCTGTTAAATAAACACGTGTATACACTACGATTAATTAATCTTATAATAAATTTAATTTTAAAATTTTAATTTAAAAATTATTGATACACAAATAATATCTTTCTCGAATAGAAAGCGTTACATTACAAC